ACACACACACACACATACACACGCACGCACGCACGCACACACACACACACGACCAGAGACACACAGACAAACCGACAAGCCTGTTTATCTGTTCTCCCAGCACGACAGGTAAAAGCCTTTGTAATCCACACAGACGGGGAGAGCCAAGCCAATCATGACTGATCGATATTGCAGAAATCGATTTCCCCCCAACCCTTTTTTTCAGTGGGGGGTCGTCTCTCGGTCAATCGATTACCATCAACGCTTCGATCCTGCTTGATCATCGTCGTTCGTAGCTAGCTCTATCGGCCCCAATAACTCGCACACACGCAAAGCAATACACAAACGTACACACGAACTGTCACACTTCGCGAGGCGGCCCTCATTGTTCGGAGTTCGGGGTATCCCAGTACAAAGACACCAATCGGCGGTCGACAGCTGCCGCTGACGTCCTGGTTGGTACTCGCAGTATAATACATAGTTGGGACCAGCAGGATCTAGATCTAGTGCTAGACAGTGCCAGCACGGTGCCAGTAGAGTCTCCCTCCTGGAACTAAGTGGGAAAAGAGCGGCCTTCACGGCGTGCGTGCGTGTAACCAGAAAACACAGAGAGAGGGTTTGGGGGCTTAGCTTCAGTGGTCGTGTTTGAGTTTGACGCATTCTTCTGTTGGACAGTTAGGTGTTGGCTCTGGCGAACGAGGAGGTTTTTACCTGCCTTTTTTCCGACTGAGACAATGGATGACAGAGTTAATCTCTGGCCCCGACTTTTCTAAAGAGACTGGAGTACCACTGTTGTTGTAGTCTTATGAAAGTCTTTATTTCTCTCTCTTTAAAAAAAAAAAAGACCTGCCATCGTGGAGTCACTATATTATTATCTTCATAGCTTTGGATTTCATTCAAAAGCTTAAAGGATAAAAAGAACACACTGTCGGAAGATTAACTCCGCGTTGGTTTTGTGAATTCAAGGGACATTTGTGTACACAGAGCACCAAGATGCCTGAAGACTCGTAAGTTTGCTTATTCTTGTTCATAATCTATCATGATTGGATAAATGTAAATTAAGAGGCGTGATGTGAAAGTTCATCTGTCTATCTATTTCAAAAGTTGTTTGTGGTGGTTTTATTGTTACTATTGCTTCTAGCAACGTTATTACAGCTGTCATATTTTTCTTACAATTGTTGAAATATTTGTTGTTGCTGTTGTTGTCCTCCTCCTCCTCCTCCTCCTCCTCCTCCTCCTCCTCCTC